TCATGAGGAGATGATCAAAGCCACATCAAGGGGCAGTCTGCAGAATAACTGATCTGGATTCTTCAAAAATGTCAATATCAGGAAAGTCCAAAATAAGGGTCAGGGAGGGGTGTCCTTGGTTAAAGGAGACTAAAGGCATGACAGCTACATGCAATCTCTGAACTTCAGTTACATCTTGGATTCTTTTTTAAAAAAAACCTATAAAGAGCATTAACGGGACAAATGGGGACTGCGTACTAGATAATAGTGCCATATCAATGTTAAAGTTCTTTTGTGTGATGATCGTACTATGGTTACATAGGAAAATATCCTTCTTCTCGGGAGTTACATAAATGTACAGTGCCATGATGTCTAGTTCTTAATTTCAAGTGGTTTAGAAAAGAGAGAGAGACAGAGAGAGAGAGAGAAAAAAAGCTAACGTGGCAAATTGTTAACAGGTGGTCAATCTAGATAAAAAGAATACAGGTGCTCATCGTATTATTCTTTCAACCTTTCTCTAGGCTTTAAATTTTTCAAAATAACAAGTGGAGTACACCTTAAACTAATACAATGTTATATATCAAGTATATCTCAATAAAACGGGGGGGCATATTGAAGGGTATCATAAAAATTATCACGGGGCCATTCTTAAATATCAGAAATAAACTAAGAAGAGTCTTTGAAAATCACCTGAATGATGGAAGCCTTGCTTGCCAAAGCTTCATGTAACAAACGCTAAAGAGAATATTGGTCAAAAGGGTCTTGAAAGGTTTGTATACACAGCAACTGGGCTGGCTACAAACAATGGTGGAGACAGAGTTGCCTCTGGCCAAGGATTGCAATTTCCAGTCCTTGCTCTGTGAGACCCGGAACCTTATCGTCTCCAGGCTTTGGTTTTTTCACATCTGTAATGACAGTCACACTAGTTGAGCTTAAGTTCTGTTTTGTGCACAAAATTTTGTGATCTAGATAAAAGAGTGCTTCTGGCCTGTCCTATACACTCGCTATATAATGCACCCGAAGCTAGAAGATACAAACCCATGGATATACTTTTGTTGTAAAATATAAAACAAAATAAAAATGGAAAAGAAAATAGCAAGTTGGGGGGGAAATGAAGTCGCAGTATACCAATATTTTTTCTTTATAAGGGAGCTTCTCGTTGACTTGAACAGACACTGCTTTATTCAATCCCTATTCTACATTACCTGTACGGCCCTCTCCCATCTGCCAAAGCCACCCCAACACCCCCGACCCACAATTGCCCTCCCACCCTCCAAAAAGCCACGGAGAACAACAGGACTGGAGGCCCCAGCCAGGTCCACCAGTCACTTGTCTCATAAACACCATCATCCTGCAAATCATTTGGTCACATAAACCACTGGCTCTCAACCTTAGCTGAGCCTCAGAATCACCAGGGAGGCTTTTATAAACACAGACACCCCAGAGCCAATCGTAAAGATTCTAACTCATTTGGTCTGGGGTGGGGCCAATGCACCTTTATCTATATTTTCAAAGATCTAAAGATAAGCCTGCTGAGCAGTCATGGATGTGAGCCCCTGGAACAAACCTCTCCAGGTGAGTTTCTCTTTGTGTATCCACTTCGTTCTGATTAAGAATGATCATTTTGACAGTAAAGAAGTTCTAAAATTTGGAGACATTTCAGTGGTTGCTTAGCACACTTGATCCCCAGTACAGTACTCTACATATGCAAACTTGCCCTGGATGTCAATTTTGATGTTATGAGGCAGTAGGATTAAATCAGACGTATATATTAGAAGGAATACCAGTCATTTACAAAAATCCATCATATCAAATATTCAACTGCCAACTAATACAGGAAAAAAATACTAAAGTATCTGAGAAAAAGTGATTTTCCATATGCATTTCCATGCTTTCCTTTCAATCGGTACAAGACACAGTTGAGTCATCCTAAGTGCTGTGGGAGTGCAGGCAGATGAACTCGGGGTGTCTCAGAGTGCAAGGGACCTGCCTATGGTCTGGGAACTGCTCTGAACCTTGGTATCTTCGTCTGAAAAATAGGGATAATAAAACCTATCTTTGGCTATAACCAAAATGACATATAAAAACAAGTGTTGGGCCGGCCCCGTGGCTTAGCAGTTAAGTGTGTGCGCTCCGCTGCTGGCGGCCCGGGTTTGGATCCCGGGCGCGCACCGATGCACCGCTTCTCCAGCCATGCTGAGGCCGTGTCCCACATACAACAACTAGAAGGATGTGCAGCTATGACATACAACTATCTACTGGGGCTTTGGGGGGGAAAATAAATAAATAAATAAAATCTTTAAAAACAAGTGTTGGTGAGGATGTGAAGAAATCGGAATTCTTATACTCTGCTGATGGGAATGTAAAATGGTGCAGCCACTTTGGATAACATTTTGGCAATTCCTCAAAAGAAGAAATAGTTACCAGATGACCCAGCAATTCCTTTCCTAGGGGTACACCCTAAAGAAATGAAAACATACATCCACAAAAAACTTGTACACAAATGTTCATAGCAGCATTATTCTTACTCATAACAGCCAAAAAGTGGAAACAACTCAAATGTCCATCAACTAGTGAGTGGATAAACAAAAGGTGCTAAATACATGCAGTGGAATATCATTCAGCCATAAAAAGGTACGGAGTACTGATACTTGCTACAACATGGATGAACCTTAACAACACGTTAAGTGAAAGATGTCAGTCACAAACTACCACCTATTGTATGATTCCATTTATATGAAACGTCCAGAACAGGCCAATCTAGAGACAGAAGGTGGATTAGTGGTTGCCTAGGGCTGGATGAGAGGGAAGAAATGGGGAGTGACAGCCAATGGGTACAGGGTTTCTTTGTGGGGTAATAAATATGTTCTAAAATTGATTGTGGGGATGGTGCACAATAGTGTGAATATACTAAAAACCACTGAATTGCACACTTTAAATGGGTGAATTACATGGTATGTGAATTATATCTCACTAGAATTTATTTTTTAAAATAAACTTGCATCATTCTTGTGAACTTGAGATAATTTATGTAAAGTGCTTTCACAGTCCTGCTAAGTAACTGAAATTCAATAAATAGGTGCTATTATTAATGGTTATTAGTTATTGAGGCAGGCTTACCAGGAAGTGACATGGAACAGATTTGGGTCTTTGATGAGCAAGTTTGCCAAGATAACTTGACTGGAATGTAAAGCGAAGTATTCTTTATAGTAATTCCTAAATTGTCATACTTTTTTACATATGTGTCTCTTGTACTAGACCGCGAACTCCTGAAGGACAATGTCCACGTCTTATTAAATCTGCTAATCCCCGGCACCAGGAATCAGATACTAGTGAAATAATTCCACTTAAAGTATGTAGAACAAGTACTATTGAGCTATTTAAAATGCCATAAAAGATTAGTTAATAACTTGAAAATATGAAAAAATCTGATCATTTGTGGTATATATTCAAAGAAAAAGTGAAAGGATTTTCATGGAAGTGCTAACAGTGGTCACCTCTGGGTGGGAGGATTACCGGTAGTTTTTATTTTCTTCTTTTTGATCTTCTGTATTTTATACATTTTCTAGAGTAGACATTACCTTTGTAATAGTGATGTCTAATCAGTGATGACACCGGTCTATTTTAAGTAGAAGACGCTGCAACCCTTCCCCTCCAAACTTAATCAAAACACATTATCGTACCTCAGTTGCACACCAACATCTTATAAAGCTATGGTTCTTAAAGTGTGAGTACCCCTCAGACCACTTGGGTTTTTTCAGAATACAAATACCCACCTAGACCTAACAAAGGAGACTCACCAGGGGTAACACCTGGGCAGACGTCCTTGACTAACGTTCTAGAGCTGCTCGCTTGTTCTGTCATTTCTAAATTAAGAACCAATGCAAAAAACCTAGGCTCCATTGCATAATCTGCAAAACTTTATTAGCACTTGTCTCCAGAACGGTCCTTACGTATCTCTCTCCCCCACATCAACTATGAGCTCCTGGAGGCAGGAAGTTTTGTCTGATTCTTCTTGGACTCACAATGGCTCATGCATAAGCAGTGCTTCCTTGGCGTTACTGGGACGGATGGACACTTGCATGCAAGAATGATAAACACCATTTACCTTACTCCTTACTTCTGCCACTGTTCTAAAACCCAGCTTGCTTACCTGTAAAATAATCATGTTAGGCAGCTTGAATTGTAACCTGACCAATTAAAAGTAAACAACCTTAGAAATATGAAATAATTCTTGTAGGTAGATATTCTGCTGGGAAATGACAATGAGGCATGGAGATATGGAGCGGCTTTATGCACGAGCTATTTTCAAAATGCAAACCAAACCTCTCTGGAGCTTTTTTCCATCCTTGGCACTAGTCCAACACTATCAGGCTTTTGGCATCATCATCTCTAATTAATTCAGTTCTACACTGAACTCAATATTCTTCAGTAACTCCTTTTTCCAAAAATGCATTTGAGGTTTGATGTTAACATTTTATTAATAGCTCTGCAATATTTGAGCTCTTTATAACACTAAGATCAAGGATCCAAAAATAAGATGAACTGGAAAGAGAGGCTCAATTTTTCCTAGGCATGCTTTGACGCTATTTGCAAAATAAGTACAGTTCATATACATGTGTATACATGGCCAATAATTTATCCAAAAATCCAGATTTTTGTTAAGTGCCTAATATCTATCAGCTACTATTGTGGAATTTATGCATTCAATGACCAGCGAGGTAATTCATAAAACTGACCACAAATTCTCTACCTCCACATCCTTGCGATGTAATGCTGCAGCCTTGCCATTAAATGGTGGAGTCTATTTCCCCAGGCCTTGCATCTTAGCTGGTCCCGTGACTTTGAAACAAATGTAATACAAGCAATGGCTTTCATTCCCCCATGGGGGTCACTCCCTCACTGCATTTGCGCCCTCACACCACCCCACGAAGGAGCCTGAGCTGGCCTGCGAGACAAGAGGACATGGGGATCCACATGAAGGCTCTCATCAGCAAGGCCTTCCGGGATTATCCAGCCACCATCTCACTCACCAGTGGACTGTAGACATGTGGCGAGCCCAGAAATCAGCTGAACTACTCGGACCAGAATCATCTGACCACAGAATCACGAGCTAAATATATGCTTGTTTTAAACCACCAAACTTGGGGGCGAGTGTTACTAGAAGCTGTCTGATTAAAACGGGGCGATAGTTTTACAATTCAAAACACTACATGGAGACGAATTCTTACTCGTGGACTGATTCTTATAAAGTCACATTCTTATAAAAGTCAAATCTGCAAAGTCCCAATTCTGTTTGCCCTGTAGACAAAACAGCTCCTAGGAGCCTACTAAGTGCCCTGAAGCTCAGGGGAGGATCAGTTTACTCAGTCAACATTTACTGAGCATCTGCAGTCTCCAGGAATACAAAGGAATACAAACAATAACTCAGGCTCCACCCTCAAAATTCTTCATCAGGGAAATGGAAAAACACAATAGTGATCAGACGATTAAAATAAAATCTGATAATTTTTATGGGAGGTAGGCTGGAGGTGGTGGGAGGAGGAGGGAAGAGAAAGGAGGAAAGGCCTCCTAGTCCAACCACTTTGGCCAGATCTGGAAAGATAATGGGAGTTAGCCAAGAGAAGTGGGGAGTGGTGTTTCCCAGGCAAAGGGGCCACAGACACCCAGCCGGGATATCATTCTAACCTCAAATAGTCCCTGGGATTGGAACCAAGAGCACAAACATGGGAAAACAGTAGGCATGAGTGGAGCTGAAGGGGCGGAGGGGAGGGTGATGGCAATCATAATGCACCCATCGGAACTGCATGCACTCAGATTTCATTTTGAAGGTAAAGGGGGGCCACTGAAAGTTTTTAAGGTGTGGAGACAACATGTTTTAGAAAGCTGTTTGCTCAACCTGTCAGTAGTGAGAATACTGAGGGGGACATCAACTGAAGGCAGGGGGACCAACGTTGCAGCTGCACTAAATAAACCAGGCAAAAGATGTCCTGAAATAGATTGATCTCCTTGTGGCTGGGGGGATATAGTGACCAACATCAAAGTCACACATAAAGGTGGGTGGGGTGATTAGGGATAGGTAAAAGAAAAGACAATTATCAAGAACAACTTATGGACTTACTCAAGTGGTGCGGGAGCAGGTTGGGGGTAAGAGTTGACAGCTGAGTGTTGACATATCGAGGTTTGGGGGTCCATGGAAACATACACTGGGTGACGGGATGTGCTGCTCTGGAGCTGGGCAGAGAGCCGGAAGCTGAAGATGCTGCTCAGGGTAACAGGCACAGAGACTTTCCCGAGAGGCTCTGGGCTATGCCCTTCCCCCCACCCGTCCCCTTTTTCCCTTGGGAAAGTGACTTTCCTCTCCGAGTTTCCACATCTGGAAAATGAAGATATGAACCATTAAGTGGAAGGGTTGTGGTGAAAATTACATGTGATAACGTTAAATACAGTGCTTGGTACATGACAGGCATTCAACACACACTGGCTTATTGTGAATGAGAACTAGGAAGAGAATGTATTCAGTATGAAAAGGCCCCAAAGGCGTGGGGATCTGGGAAGCGCCAGTATTTTAAGAAATGGGCTAAGGTGCAGACAAAGGATACAGAAAGGAAAAAAATAAATAAAATTAACAGAAGAAAATAAGATAGCAGGTCAACACCCCATCAGAAAGCTGCTTACTAATATAAGCCTACTCAGTCTTCTAAAGAAGTTCACATACATGGACCAATACTTCCTCCTCCATGTACCTATCCTAAGGAAATATTTTTTTAAAGTTAAGAAAAATATTTGCATAAAATGCTTGTTGAGCCTTAAATAAACACGAAGAACACAGAGAAGAGTTATATAAATTGTGATAAATTCATAGGACTTATTTTATAACTGGGGTGGTGGGTCAGAGTTGGGAGCATGATGAGAATGTTCAAACTCGAACAAAATATATCAGCTATTAGTAGAGATCAGATTATGTTATATGAGAATTTCTGATTTTTGTAAGTTCCTTAATTTATTGCGATAAATGTGTATTATTCACATATACACACCCCAAAATCCCCACCTGAAAAAATAAATAAATAAAAGGAATTACGGAATTTTTACTGGGAGCTAAAAAAAGGAGTACTCACCTTGCTTTCACTGTCACTCACAATACAACCCTCCCTATCTTTCCAGGGTTGCTTCTGATGATTCCTCCTCATACAACTTCTTTTCCTCTGTCCTGCTCTCCCTCCCTTTCTCAGACGATTCCCTCTGCCTGGAATACCGCCTTCCAGAGACTGACACCCCACCCTTAACGAGACAGGCCTGTCTATCAAAACACCACCCACCCCACCAGTCCCCCGGCCCCTCCGACCCACCTGGATCTCATCTCTAATCTCTCTTTCTAGTCAGTGACTATGGCTTTGTGCTTCCTTGAAGGCACTACTATTTCATTTCATGCCAAAAATACTCACCCCGAGGTCATTCCTATGGACAAGCTTCGAGGAGTGTCTCTAAACACTCTGAAATCATTGCAAAATTGTGTGTGTGTGTGTGCGCGCACGCGCGCACATTTTTCTGGGAAAGAGGACCCAGATTCTCAAATGACCCAAAAGAAGCTAAGAAACACCATTTCATTCTCATTTGGTCCTTTTGTCCGGTCCACCCTGCTGTAACCTCCAGGATTTATCCAGCACAGCGTCTTCTCGGTGCCCGAAAAAGAGCCTTGCACAAAACAGGGATTCAGTTGTTTAATTCAACTGAATGGAGTCAACACAGATGTTGGCGTTTACCACACGGAAAAGTAAAGTTTTAAAAAGAAAGAAGAAAATCCTTCACTCCTCCAATTTAAAGGTTCTATCACAACCCACACAAGAACAAGAGTGAAAGTGAAATTATTGTATTTGCTTTAAGACCATGAGCCCAGCCTACCAGCAAGGCTAGGGCTGGGGATCAGCAAGGTCATGTGCAATCCTCAGTCCGCCCCTGACTCACTTGTGTCTTGAGTAATAACTTTCCCATACTCACCATACCTCATTTCCTATTTATGCAACATGGAAAATAATTCTTGTCCCTTATCTCCCAAACGAGGAGGTTGTGAGGGAAACGCGACACAGAGCATGCTTTTGGAGCACTTCATCAGGCAGAGGCTTCACCAGTCTCCTCAGCAGAGGGCCCGTGGTTGCAAAGGCCCCTCAGCCGCAGTGCCTGTTTGCATGTCCTGAGGGCTGCCTTCCTTCGGGTCTAAAGATTTCCAAATGTGCTCAGACTTAGCATCGATGCTAAGAACATCTCAGGCTGGAATGTGCCCTGACCACACTCCAGAGCAGCATTTCTCAACAATTTTTAACCCATATTTCCATTTGATAAGCACTGGAAATGTCACTCCCTTTTTAAATTTTGTATTATGAAAACAGGGGTTTAGTTTTCCCCTTTTCAAAGCACACAATTCTATAATAAATACTACTCGGCAATAAAAAGGAATGAACTACCGATCTATAACAGCATGGAGGAATCTCAAGGGTGCTATGCTGAAAGAAGCCAGACCAAAAAGAGCACATGGTGCACGACTCCATTCACAAAAAAATTCTAGAGAAGCAACGACTCTATATGAGCGAGAGCAGTGAGCAGTTGCTGGGGATGGGGGGCAGGAGGGGCTCCGGGAGACGTTGGGGGAGGGGTGATGGGGACGTTCCTTATCTTCCCTCGTTACCTGTGGTGTCTTGCACAGTGTACACATACGTCAAAACCTACCCCGTGTGTGCATCCGCCGTATGTGACTTAGACCTCAGTAAAGCCTTCTGCGAAAATTCTATTACATAGTTGAATTTTTTCCAGGAAATTAACCCCGTCCACCCTGTCCCCATAAAAATTGTTTCCTAAAGTGAGCTTACTGACCACCTGAGCGCTCAGGACTCAACACAGTAAGTAAGCACTTAACACTCAGCACTCTTCATTTCCACAGAGGCTGGTGGTTTCACGCCCCAGCGCTTGCTCTGTCCCCTCCCTGGAGATGATCTCCTGCTTCTTTCTCCTCCTCTCCACTCTTCTTTCCAGAGGCAGCTCAGCAGTCTCCAGCAGCCGCCCTGACGCTGAGCTCCATGCCCCCTTGGGTTCCCGCAGCTCCCAGCCGCCACTCACTGCTTCATACCAAGTTTAGCTGTTTAGGCGTCCAGTCTCTGCCATGAGACTGTACACCTAAAGGGGTTCTGAATCTTTCTTTCTTTGTGCCTCAGAGTCCTTCCACAGCCTCGTGAAGCCTTCTCAGAATAAGGTAAAACACACAGGCATATGCAGAAAACTAGTTATGAAATACAGTTTTCAAACCATTAAAACATACATTTGATGTAATAACATGTGCTTTTTACTGATGTATTAAATGATAAGATGTAGTGGTAGGTCAAATAACTCCCATTATTGCACAGTAGTGATCCATATGCAACACCTTTTAAGAGAGCCACAAACAGCTGTAATATGATATGGAAATACATGTGCTTTCCTGGTGACAGTCTCAGGTACAGCTAATCCTCCTGTGGCTTCCTCACCATTCACCTCTGAAGGAAATACTACGCTGCAGTCAGAGGTTACAGAAAATGTCATCTTTTCTCCACCCAAGGACAAAGACCCAGAGATGGCTGGACAAGAGCAGCGATTCAGAGAGGCTGTGTACTGTTGACATGTGTGTTCTCGACGCTCTTAGCACATAGGAGGACTTAATGTCCAGCTACAAAACCCTGTAAAAATAACCATGACAACATTAAGTATGAATACAAAAACAAAGATGATTTCTCCTGCTAATAATTGTTACGATTACTACTAGTATGCTTCCCTGGAAAATTGTTCCCTGACTGCCAAGGAACTTCAAATACATCTACCTGGAACCACATCATGCCCTGGCCACGTCATATTCTGCAATTCTCCAAGCATTAACATGAAACCATGAAAAGAGACTATGTAAAGACTGAGAGGATTTCGAGGAGAAAGGCAATGACCTCGCCATGACCTCACCAAGTCCAGTGTGACCTTCAAATGATCTTGGAGCTCTCGATCCACGGGGAATCTAAGAAATGCCCTTTGCTCAGAATTTTTCTTCCCATTGCAGCAGCGAATAACGCAAGATGCTTTGTCCCACCACGCCTCTCTCTCAATATTACTAAAGACTTCCTTTCTTCTCGTTGTTGCAGTTCTTGTTGAGAGCATTTCATAAGAGTGTACATAATGAATTAGGTTCGAGTGAGCTGGAGCAACAATGACACACCTGGGGGAAATCCTGCTCCCTGTGAAAGTTCACAGGGCCTTCTGTGGTCTCGGGCTACACCCTCGACCATGCACCCCGGGGCTCAGCGGTCATGTGCACACCCAGGCCAGTCTCCTTCTGCAGGCACCAGAGGAGAAAAAGGCAGCTCCCGGGCCTCCCACCCTTGACCCATTTGCTTTAGCATTTGAGGGGGACTGGTTTCTGAACTTCCAGCATAATTCAAATGAACTAAGGTGAGTGAAAAATGTTTACCTTAAAATCTTTTTCACTCCTATCCAAGAAATTTTGGAGCCACTCTTACCCTAAATCAGTCAAATTCAAAAGAATGCTGAGCCAGTGTGTTGATCCACCCACACCCCTATCCTATTGTGGCTCAAACATCTGCAACCTTAAAAATGAGCTGTGGAGAGATAAGCAGTTTGGGAAACTAAGTGTCAGAAGATAGTGGCTCATGGCCTGAATGAGAACTACGAGTGAGGACATTGGTAGCTCACTGGAAGGGAAGGGCCACCATTCTCAAGCAAGCCAGAAGGCACTCCTCTGGCCGCCGCGGGCCTCAGCCAAGGCCAGCTGATCTGCAGGACGTTCTGAACATTGCCAAAACGAGCCTCTGCTCTACTTTCTCTCTCTCTCACCAGCTTCTTACCTTTTGTCTACAAACACGTTCCGATTCATTGCATCTGGAGAGTGGTAACAACCACCTTTACACCACTTCTCCCAAAAGTTACCAAATTGCTGCCCTGTTATCTCCGTTCTAACTTCTTCAGAGCGCAGTCCACAGTCGATGTCTTCACTTCCTCCCTCTGACCGTCTCCTCTAACCTCTCTCAGCTCTGTTTCCAGCCACCAGTCTCTGCACTGGACTGCAATATATTTATTAAATGGATGGGGCCAAAGTCAATGACCTCATAATTGCCAACTGGATCCACTGAGTGGCTTTGAGTCCTCAGCTGGCGTAATCCGGGTGACGATGATGTTCCCTCCACCTGGGAACGGTCCTCCCTGGTTCTCCTCCCACCTCGTGGTTTCTCCTGCATTTTCCTTCAATGCCGGTATTCCTAATTTTCCTTCTTGAGTCCTCTCGTCTCACTCAATCTGACCATTCTCTTTAGGAGATCTAATCCATTGGGCTTCAAGGTTTTATGCTCACAAATCCCCTAAAATAAAAACTACATACCCCTATGTGATTTCTAATTTGACATCACCATTTTTTTAGCCCAAGTTTAAATGGTTGTGAAGAATCTTGTTTATAGTGTTTCATAAATGCACAAGATCTTCTTTAAGAGTCAGAAAGTTTACATCATCCTTATTTGTTTTAACTCCTATTTCCCTTCTACTTGCCCCACAGAGTTTTTAACAGCTTTATTGAGATATAAACCACATATCATACGATTCATCCATTTAAAGTGTACAGTGTAATGGGTTTTAGCATAATCACAGAGTTGTGCCACCATCACCACAATCAATTTTAAAACTTTTTCATCACCCCAAAAAGAAGCCTGGTCCCCATTAGCAGTCACTCCTCGTTCTCTGCTCCCCTACACAGTCCTAAGCAACCACTAATCTCTTTTCTGTCTGTAGATTTGCCTCTTCTGGACATTTCATACAAATGGAATCACACAGTACGTAGTCTTTTGTGACTGGCTTCTTTCACTTAGAGCCTGTTTTCAAGGTTCATCCATGGTGTAGTATGTATTAGTATTCATCTCTTTTTATTGTCTGATAATATTCCACCATATGGATATGTCACATTTTGATTATCCATTCATCAGCTGGTGGACATTTGGGTTGTTTCCACTTTTTGGCTATTATGAATAATGCAGCTATGAACATTCATGTAGTTTTTTGTTACCCACAAATTTTAAACTAAATTTATTTTTATGCTTCAAAATCTTTTATTGATAACCTTTTCATATATCTCATCCACAAATTAAAAATAAAAGCTTCTGTGACCATGATCCACTAAGCACACAAAAGGTCCTTCTGGACTGAGTGGCAGTGAATTCTAGTTGTTAGTAGTACACATTCATCAAAGCATCATAAGTATATCACAAACTTTGACAATTATTAAACATAAAAAGTGAAATTTTACTAGAAATACACCTCTTAATGAGATTAACTGGGTTTATTTTCCAATTATTAGTTCATGCATATGTGGACGCCTTATCATTATAATGAAACAGTTGGGTTTCCTTGCATCGCTGCTTTTCTTTCTATAGATGCAATCGCTGAGAAACTCTTTCCAAATAAACAAGTGAAGGAATGAAGGATTCTACTTACAGCAATGTCATCCAAATCTTGGAAATCCATGCTAGTCATAGCCCCAATTCACTTTGTAATCTATCATCAAAAATTATGCTTAGGTCTCCCTCCAAAAGTGTTGAAAGCAGACAGCCCGAGCCAGCTGCCCTATAAAAGGAAGAGTCACCCCATCCCAAATCACTTTCTCACACCTGCATCTGGGTTTAGAACGGCCCCTCTGTTTGGAGCCCAGGGGCTTTTCATACACCCACGAGACACACCATAGTAAGACGGTGAAAGGGCAAGAGGTGTGCCTTCTCCCTGTAAAGTGGGAGAGGGACTTATTCTCAGGGGGATTCCTGTCAGACAAGGGTGTGCATATGGATGATAAATGACTGAATATTGCTTCCCTCACCCAGACTGATTCATTTACTTCAACTGCTTGACTGTCAGCTCCACGACTCCAGCTCACTCTCACTGAGCCCCGGATGCTGCAGCCTGCGGTGCACCACCTGGTCAGCCCTCAGGCCCTCGCGGGTCCCACACTGAGCTAATCTCGCCCAAATCCACCTCCCACCCCATATTCCCAGGCGCCTTCCTCCACTCTTTTCACCACACCGCAGCCAGGTCAACATCCATCAAGTCACTGCCCACCTGAAATCCTTCACCAGTGCCCCAAATCCATCCCGGCCCTTTGCCTGTAAGCACCTCCTCTGAGACACAGTGAAGCCAGATCCTCTCCAGAGAAACAACACATGCTCTCAGCCTCTGACCCTCTGACACCTGGTTAAGAAGGGCCAGACTCCAGGAGACAGGACAGGTTAGCGGTTAAAAGGATAGACTCTGGAATAGGACTGCCCGGGTTAAAGGCAGTTACTCAAAGAGTAACCCTGAGCGAAATCTTTGACCCCTCTGAGTCCCAGTTTCTTCATCTACAGAGGATAATAATACGATCTTTCGTAAAAGGCAGGTGTAAAGATTAAATGACTAAATGTATGTAATGGGTTTAGCACAGTGCTGACACATGGTAAATCATAGCAAGACCTCAATAAATCCTAGCTGCCACTAGCATGAAATAAACTCCCCAAGTCTGAAGTTGAGTGTCCAAGTCCACGACAAGTTGGGGAAGCCCATTTTCCAGCCTCACCTCCAGTCTGTCCCCTACTCATCCCGCACAAGCTCCCATGCCACACCACTTGCTATCCCCCCCACCCCAAATCAGGCTTCCACGCCTCCAGCTCTTTGCATTCACTCTTCCCCTCAGCTAGACTTCCTTTCCTACCATCTGCCCCATGAATGCCACCTTGAAAGGGCCTCACTGATAGCCCTGTCTCAAGTCTCCTCTGCTGATTCCTTCTCTTTTTCAGAACTCTAAATGTCAGCGTGGCCCAAAGCTCAGGTCTTGGACCCCTTCTCTTCTCTACCGACACTCCCTTTATGATCTCTTTAAGTCTCCAGGCTTTAAATATTTATAGGCTGATAATCTCCAAATGTGTGTCACCAGATCTGACCTCTCTCTTTCCACTTCATTGAGATACCAAGGGGACATCTCTAATTTAACGTGGACAAAAATGAATTCTTGGTCTTCCCCCCAAATCTGTTCCATCTGCATCCTCCCCATCCCAGGTGTTTAAAAGTTCTATCCTTCCAGTTGCGCATGCCAACAACCCTGGAGTCACCCTTGACTTCTCTCTCACATTCCATATCTAACCTAGTGATAAATCCTGTTGGCTCTACCTTCAAAATATATGCAGAATCTGATCACTTCTTACCCCCTCTATTATCATGAACTGGGGTCAGAGCCATCATCCTCTCTTGCCTGGATCTCTGCAATGGCTCCTAACTGGTCTCCCTGCTTCAAACCTGCCCCTACAAGTCTATTCTCAAGACAACAATCACAGTGACCTTTTTAAAACCTCAGTCATATCATATCCTTCTCTGCTCAAACCCAGCAATGGATCCCTGTTTCTCCCGTGGTAAGAGTCCTTCAGACAATGCCGAACAGCCTGACCCCCTTACCTCTCTGACCTCACCTTCTACTCCTCCCCCTTTCTCACTCTGTTCCAGCCACACTGACTTCCTCGCTGTTCCTAAATCTTGCCAGGAAGCAATTTCCTGTTTTGCCTTAGCTGTTTCCTCTGCCTGGAAACCTCTTCCACCAAGATCACCACATGGCTAACTCACCCAGCAACTTCAAATCTTTGCTCAAATCTCATCTTCTCATTGAGAACCGCCCTGACCTGTGCCAGGGATCAGACATGGGGACCTGAGCCCAGAGCATCCTTACTTCTCTATCCAGTCACCCAGGATGCCTTGTCTCAGAACTAGTTACACCTGGGCCTCCAAGGAATAGAGAATAAAAAATTCACTTTGCTGAGTATCTCCTTTGGCCCCATGCTAGGACTTGTGAAGAAAAGGAACAGTCCTAATTTCCCAGGGATCAAATCAATTGTCCCAGATCACCAGGCTTATAAACAACCAAGACTTAGAAGCCTGTCTGCCTGCTGCCTCTACTGCACCCTTTCTTCAAACCACTCTGCTGAATGCTGGGGCGCACTGTGTCCTTGTCTTGCCCCTCACGGTGCCTCATCTACCTGCAGCAATGTTGGCCCAGTTCCAGGTCTAGATGGAGAGTCGGATGAAAGGCAGTTAGCTTAGGGTTTTTGTTTGCTCTTTTAATGCCAAGTCACTGTATTATGTCCATCAATCTAAACTGGAAAAAAAACAATAGATTTTTAATACATTTCACATCTTCATCTGTAGGTGTTAATTACAAAACAGCTCTGAGCAGGAAAGAGTACGAAGTTAGAATCTTTCTGAGTCCCACTGGGCTCCTGTGGGGTTATCTGAAGCCTTTCTGCCCCTTCTTCTCTTCCCTCCTCCTACCGCTGCCCCCTCTGAATTGTTCATGGAGAGAAAGCAAGAACTCCAACCAACCGATGACGTTCTTTCCATATTTATTTAGCATTACTTGCTGATGACTAGTCATTTTTATGAGCTAAGAGGCACTCTCCATAGAGACACCAGGGCATTAGAGTCATTCTGCCTGAGTTCAAATTCCCACTCTGCTTCCAGCTAGGAGTGCTACGGGAATGACTTAGCCTTAGTTTTAGTATACTCAGCTTTAGGGTATTAAAAATAAAAGTTCCTCCTTTATAGGTGACTGTAAGGATGGAATGAGACAATGCAATCAAAGCACTTAGCACAGTGGCAGGCATATGTCAAGTAAGCACCCCGTGTGCGGTGGCTGTTGTTTCATGGGTGCTGGTTCAGAGACACTGGTCCCCACCGCTCCATCCACAAAGGGATCCAGTGGCTGCTCCCCATCCGTGACTCAAACACTCTGGAGGAAGAGCACGTTGGTCGGTTCTATAGTAAATTTCCACCTTGTGAAATGACCTTGGGATGTTTGTTAATACCGGTAAACAGAAATTTCTGACTTCCTTGTTGGAGGAATGTTTGCATTCTCTTTAGTCCCAAACACTTACTTTGAATGGAACCACTTTTATATTATAAAGTAAAAGAGCAGTTCTAAATACAAATTTTCTGACTTCCTATCTTTATCTATAATCCACATTCCCAGCAAGAGTTCTATAAACTTTCTTTCTGATTCTAAGGAAACTTTGCAGCTTCCTGCCACTTCCCCTGTTAATACACAGTTGTAGTAACATCTCCTCGATGTCTGTCCAAAGATACCACCAAAAGAGGAAAACAGATTTCCCAAAACTTCAACTCACGTCAGACATCAGCTCTCAACACCTAGCTCATTTTTTTTTTGTTATTCATTCTTTAAAAGAAAACTAATTTAAGAATCTTAATTACGTAAAACTTCAGAATAATGGCAAAGACTAATTTTCTCCTTTTTCTAAACACTGCAAGACAACTGCTTTACCATTTATATTCATTTTCACTTTCTAGAAACAGGAAGAAATATTTAAAGAATTTCACCAGCAAATTATCAACCAGAAAGAGAACTCATCAGACTACTAGAAATCTCTCAAAACAAGTTGAAAAGTTAATAATAAGTTACTATGTATCTATGCACTATCTCCCTCCCAGTCTTTTATTTGAATTTAAATAACAACATCCCAGCTAACAGTGTGCTTTTCTGCAGTACTTTTCTGAGGTGCAAAACGTTGACCCTGCAAGACGAGGTGACTCAGCACATTAAACTGCAGACCTCAGGTCTGGAGAGCGGATGCACTCCTCGCCTGTTGCAAGTACTGCTGAGAAGATATCAGGATGGGATTTTTCTTTTTAATTTAAGGTTTGAAAGGTCAAAGAATCTAAACATATGCCTCTCTAGCAGGACAAATATAGAATGGAGAAAAGAGAAATAAGACTGTCACAAAGACAATTCTATCTGATTGCTAAAAGGATTGTTGTACCTAACTACATTAGCATTTAAAGTGCCCCGCAGGACGTGGGGAGACACCTCACTGAGGCTGAAGGTGGGGAAGCTGGTCGAGGTTTCACCTTTTTTCCTCCTGTTGTTTACGTGGAGCCAGTTTTCTCCACCGGCAGGAGAAACAGAACACAGAAGGTGAAACAGGCGTTGAGAAAGCAAACACTGTTTATGAAAAGGCAGATAAACTAATTTTTTTTAATGACAAATACTACAAAGCTGAGAAATGGAGACTTTTGAACTCTATGCTTTTCTGGCGGTGTCTGTACTGGTGGTTCCCAAACCCTGCAGGTTATCAAAACCACAAGGGAGGTTTTTAAAAGCGTAGATTTACAGTTTACAGTCCCCTTCCTGCCCCCAACTCGGAGTCAGCAGGTTTGGGGCGGGGCCCAGGAATCCAAAACACTCACCCAGGCGATTCCCATGCACGGCTGGGTTTCGGATCAGTCGGAGCTGATAAAACACAAAGGTGCCTCAAAACAAAGGTGACACACACCTCCCCCAGCCCAACTGTAAAGTGCACGGGTGAAAAGACAAGGAGTACTCTAAAATTCAGGAGGATGCACCTTCCTGCGTTGAAGCAGTTATTAAATATTAGTAATATCCTTAATTGTCTTAACGTTTAAAATTCCCAATGAAATCCTCACTTTAAAAAGTCGTTTTAGGATGTGACCTTGCCTCCAGTTCTGTTTACAGCGATGACCTGCGCATCTCTTTCCGCCTGGAACGGAGACTCCTTCCCCAGGCCCTGAGCCTTCGAATTCCCTTCAATTTGCCCACAGAATCTTCACAGCAACCTCTGGAAGTAGCTATTACTATCCCCATCTTACGGATGAGGAAGTGGAGGCTATGAGGAGTAAATTGTTCTGATGATAAAGCCAAGATTTTAACCAAGGGCTTTCGGTGGTTTGGTTGGTTGGTTGGTCCTTTAGAGGAATTTACATATGAGGTTTGGATCTGATCAAATCGTAAAGAATCTCAGACCCGGTGTAATCTCCATACGTTCAGCAAACGCTGACTGAGTTGGGCGTAGTGCCAGCGCTGGGCAGACACAATGAGCCCCAAGAACTCCCAGCTGTGGGAGGGCCTCCTCAGCCCCTCAGGGTGGTGGGGTGGCCAAGGGAAGCTTCTCTCTGAGGTCCTCCTGGACTCTGTTCAGGGATCTGTCCCACTGTCTGCAGGAGCACACTCTCAGCTGTCTGACCTGTCACAGCTGCACTTCTGATTCAGAAATGTGTTCACCGAATTATGGGCACAGATGCTCTGAGGTACACTGGTGGGAGGGGGGCCTGGGGCCCTCTTTGAAAGCCTTCACAGAGGATGTGGCTTATGAGCTGAATGTTGAAGGATGAAAAAAGATTTCACTACGCAAAGAGGAGAAAGGGTGTCTAGGCCCAGAGCAGCATGTGCGAACCTGCCTGGTCTAGCAGAGTACCTCGGGGCTGAGGTGCAGCTGGGGGTAAGGGCAATGGAGGGTGGGGGAGGCTGGGAAAAGACCAAGAAGGGGATTTCATGCTATGTGAGGAGTCTAGACTTTAAAAGAGGCAAAGGGAGCCAACAGTGGTTCTTATGCAGTGGAGTCATAGGCCTGGATTTGTATTTAAGAAAGATAATGCTTGCCCCCAGGTGGAGAAGGGGCTGCGTGAAAGGCACAGGGTCTGAAGGGAGCAGGGGAAGGCTGTGGCAAAAATCCAGGCCAGATCCAGCCCAAACTAAATCCGGGATCCTGAGGCTAAAGGAGGGACATCACTGGAGAAGTTTCTGAGGTTCAGGGTGCAAGCTTTAGAGTCAGGTAGCTGAATGCTGGCTCCAGACTTCTCGATGTGGCTCATGGGCAAGTTTTAGGCAGCCACCTGGATGGCTGAGTGGCTGCAGACTGAGGGTATGCGAGGGAAGAGGGAAGAGTGGGGAGTATCCGCAAGGTTTCCAAGCGGGAGAGTAAAGGCATGTGTCTTCAGCCAAATGATGCTGGGGACACACACAGGAAGAGGACCTGGTCTGAAAGAAAAGGCTGCGAGTTTGGTTTTGACCATGTTAAGTTTGGGATGTTGGAAATACGGATTAAGGAGGGGTCAGAGCCAAAAGCACAGATTCACGGTCATTCAGGATCATCTATGAAGCGCCGGGAGTGGAGTGTCAGGGAATATTGACGGGAAATCAGAGTCACGATTAGTTTATTCAAAATGGAAGCTTTAGTTCAGGCTTATGGGAAACAGAGAGCCAATCAACAAACATGCACTGAGAGCTGACTACATGCCAGGCACTGCCCAGGAGCCCAAGACTTGAGCAAGCAGACCAACCCTCAGAGAGCTCACGTGGTCACGTGGTCGTGGGGGAGATGAGGCAGTCAACAGACCCGTGCAGGGTGGGAAAGCCACCCAGAGGGAGCAAGGCAGGGTGCGGAGGTGGTGAGTACCACGGGAGGCCCACACCAGCTCCAGAGGCCAGGTAGGGCCTCCCAAGCAGTTAATGTTTGAGCTGAGGCCCGAGATCGTGCAAATATTAACTGAGGGCTCACTAAGCCTTTTATGTGCATTATCCCACTTACTCCTTACCACAAACCAAGGAGGTAAATATATGCCTCAAAAATACGGACACCAAACCACAGGGATGCTAAGTAACCTGCCCACACTGCAAGTAAGCCGGCAGAGAAGACCTTGACCCAGCAGTCAGCTCCAGGCAGGGGCCACGCTCTCCCCTGCTGCATGCATTGCCCCTCACTGCCTGCTAAATGCTCAGAGAATGTGAGACCTGAAGGAGGAAGAAGCCGTCAGCAGAACCTCACAGTGGTCAGAGCACAAAGACTGTCTGGAAACAGGAGGTGGTTGGTAAGTGTTTGCTAGATTATCGAAAGCAGGACACCTTCACAGAGAAGTGGTCAGAAGCCCCGAATTTCAACGCTGGCTCACTAGTCACTAATTCTGTAACCTGGCGATGAGTGGTGACCTCTGTGAACCGCAGTTTTCTCATCTGTAAGATAAATCTAACACACAACTCACAGATTATCCTGAAGATAGAGGGACGTAACCCACATGAAAATACACATCACAGTCTCCAGCACATGGTGTTATCTTTGGCAGCGGATGATGCTAGGGGGGCTCCATGGCAGATAACACACCACCACTTCTTCATAAAAAGCTAAAGCTCAGAGTGCGCATGGCGTCGCAAACAGGACTGCTAATAACTAGTGACTGTTAATAACAATTATTAATAACTATTCATTGTTAATCACTAATTATTATTCTGAGAAAAAACCTGGGTGGGGTGACAAAAGTCACTTTGAGAGCTACCACTGGTCTTATCAATTATTAAGAGAAATTAAATTTATTTTATTTGCCACTGTGCAAATTAGCTCAGGTACACTAAAGGAAAGTTTATTTCACTGAGACTCAGCTCATTCCAAAGTGACTCCATCAGAAAGGACAGGCTGCTTCTGCATTGTACCTTCTCTCCCTCTATTTTCCTCATTCCAGACAATAGAGTGCTGGCCCTTGTGAAGCAGAAACAAAACAGCAAATGAAAGCACATTGGCTCTGGGAGGAACCGACACCAGGGCCCCAGAGTGCTGTGTAACGGGCCGTAAGAGGCACCACCACTGCGCTGTGGTCCAGAAGGACCGCTCTCAGCAGCGAGATGAGGGGTGGATATGGAGAGGATTGATCACAGCTGTAAAGGGCAAACTGCAGCTGAAAAGAGCAACAAGGCACTGAGGGGCACAGCGCTGCCTGCCCAGGTCTCCTGCGCATCCACCACTTTCCCAGCCCCACCACCAGCCACAGGGGCAGCTCTGTCCTTCAGCATACCTGGGCTATCCCTGCGTGGAGGCAGCTACATTTGCTCCAGCTCAGCCACACTCCTGGTCTGTGAGCGCACTTCACACTGCTGGTCTCAGAAGGAACATACTCTCCTCTGCAAAGCACCCCCTGTGCACCTGCCCCTCTAAGGCTCCCACCTGGACATGCCCACATGCCCCGACACTGCTCCACCCCCCCACCATACAAAGTCATATTAACACTCTATTTTACTTTCTTTATAGTACTTAAGACTATGAAAAATTATCTTGTTCTTTTTTTTTTTTTTTTGGTGAGGAAGATTGGCCCTGAGCTAACATCTGTTGCCAATCTTCCTCTTTTTGCTGAGGAAGATTAGCCCTGAGCTAACATCTGTGCCCATCTTCCTCTAGTTTGTATGTGGGACGCCACCACAGCATGGTTTGATGAGCGGTGCGTAGGCCCATGCCCAGGATCCGAACCTGCAAACCCTGGGCCCCGAAGCAGAGTTCGAGAACTTAACCACTATGCCACCAGGCCGGCCCCACCTTGCTCATTGTTTTACCGGTTTCTTTTCTACCCCTCCCCACCCTCTGCTAAAAACTGGAAGCTCAGTGCATGCCTAGATATTGTCTTTCTGGTTCATCCTCACATTCCCAGCATCTGGCAGGAAGTAAAGAACTCAATAAATATTTATTGAATCAATAAAGTAACTCAGAAGAGCATGATCAAGTTGCAGAGGCAGAAAAGTAACAGCTGAGTTTGAGAAAATGGTGAGCAGCATCTTCTGGTGCAGCTGGGCACAGAGATGAGGCTGGACAGGCCACTTGCAGGGGACCCGGCAGCAGTGTGGACTGAGTAGATAGTGGAGAGCCTCTGAAAGGGTTTGACCAAGAGAGTGCCCTGAACAGAACTGCCCTTAGGGAAGGACTGTGAATAGAATGGACTGGAATGAAGCCAGAAAACCCAAGAGAAAACCATGTGTTACCCCTCAAGTCAGCAAAAATTGAGAAGTCTGATGGGGATGTAATGTACAGCATGGCGACTATAGTTAATAATACTGTACTGCATACTGGAAAGTTGCTAAGAGAGTAGATCTTAAAAAGTTCTCATCACAAGAAAAAATTATTTTAAATAAATAAAAAAATAAGTCTGACACTTATTGGAGAGTATTTGGAGAAAGAGCATTTGGAGAAACAGTTTTCAAACAGTTGGAAAATCAATTTGGTAATATCTCTTACAAGTGAAACCGGGCATATTTTAAAATGTTGTAATTCTGCATCTAGGTATCTAGCCTAAGAAACTATTGCCTGTATTCGACATAGGTAAAAATAATACAAGCATTGTTTATATTAGTGAAAAATTTTAAACTACCTACATATCTACTAATGGACTGATTAATAAAATGTGGTTATTATTAATACCATGAAATACCAGACAGCAATTAAAAACAATGAGTGTGTATGTATAACACATATATTTATATGTATATAGAAGCATGGATAGATCTGAAAAACAACATTCAGTGCAAGTGAGCAAATCATAGAATAGGGATATATGGAACCATTTTTATATATTTAAACCCATAAAACCATACTACATATCAACTAGGGGTACATGTAAATATATATAAAATACTTAAAAAGCACATATCAAACTGAACATAGGTTTTGTAAGGTGAGGCTAGAAGGAGAGAATGGAACAGGAATTAGTATTCAAAGGGAACTGGGCCTTATCTCAACCGTTTTACTTCATTAAAAAACTTGAAACAGATATGACAAAAATGATACAGTTGTTAATTTTGGATGATGGGAACATAGTACAGTTTTTACTGGGAATCAGAAGACAGATGCTAGGCACAAATGGAAAAACTAAAAGGATGCCAGAACTGGCTGGATTAGTAGAGTATCAAGTAGGCTGAAAGGGCAAGAGTCAAAAATTACACTTTTTTTAATGATGAGAGGCTGGCCACACCATTAAAAGAACTAAAAAACACTGAGTTCCATTTTAGAAAGGTTTGCTGTATTAATGAGGCATCCAAGTGATGTCCATCGAGAAGTCAGAATCCAAATTCCAAGCTGGTGCTGAACACCTGTTCTGGGAAAGTGAGGAATAAAATGGGAGCCTCAATCAATTTCCTTCAAAAAAAACTTTGTTAAGGTCCCTAGAGAATTTACTTTTCGTATTTGGGTTTGTTTACAACACATACAGAAACCCGAGTTCAGGGCCCTGTACTCAACCAAAGTTAGCCTCCCTCTTTGAAAGTCAGGTTACTCAATTTTAATACACATTTCTAGAAAGCCTGGAGGCCTGCTCTCTGATAATCAATTAACCACTTGAGTAAGGCAACTTGTTAACAGTTTCCTTTCAGTAAGCAACATAGATTAAGAGCAAACAATGACCCAAATTCACACTGTTCAAATAAAAAATTCCAAATATAAAACTATTTTGAAATCAAACTCCCTATTCTTACATAAAGATGATTAACTTCCAAGTACCAAAAGACCACATTTATCTTTATGAAATGCGCCTCCTCTAACAGTTCACATTCCCATGTTTGCATAGTGCCTTCCTATCCTTTTTAACGTGTTTTGCAACCCCTGAAAAGTCAATAGTCTTAGGTCTTCTCTAAAGAGGGAAACAGGAGACAGTGAGTGACCGGCCAGGGTGACTCATGGGCAGAGTCGATGTTGGAACTCAGAACCCGGGGCCTGGCATTCCCAGTTCCTAAAACCACGAGGCTCTGCTAACCCTGGCAGAGCTGACTCCTTCCCCAGACTATGCTTCTCTGCGGCCTCGGTGGAGGGAATGACTGTTTCCACAGCTTTCTCCTCCAAAAGTACTCAGCAGTCAGAAATAAAAGTTGACCTGCAAGTTGTCGTCTTTAATAGTTTAAGATCTGAATTTAAGGGATTCCATTCCCTCACCTTTGCTTTTTAATAAGGCACAGCTAAACTCCACTGATACAACCTAACAATCTCCATAATTAATGTAATTTTGCTGGTGGGTTCTTTTTTTGAGAGTCCTCGGTTCAGACTGGGGTACATTCAAATCAATCAGTACTGTTTAAACACCCTGCTGTTTCGTGTTTGTTCCAGTTAGTGCTATCTTGGACACGCTGAGCTCCTAACAGCCACAGAGCTGTCTGCTGGTACTGACCTTATAAAGCCAACAGTTAGGGACTGTGTATACAAGGACTTAAGAGATTATTTTACCAGAATAAGGTTGCTATGTAGCCATCCAGTGTAAATGGCATTTCTTTCCATTAACAAATTGAAGAGATCATAAGCATCTGAAATTAAATGATAGCTTAAAAAAAATAAACTAATATACTAAAATTTAGGTTTACTGATAAAATCAGATATTTTTCAGCTAAGAAACCAACCCAACTGTGGTTTCTGATTGTACCGTTCTCACGGGAGTTTAAAACGCTTTTACAAATATTTTTTTACTGTCACATATTTCTCATTCCAATTTTATAACTTAAAAAAAAAAAAGAGCTGAATAACTTACCCAAAGTCACATAGCCAGTTCATAGCAGAAATCAAATAAAAGCCCAAATTAAAATTAGCAATTAAGAATCTGATACAGTGTGTCCTTTTTGCTAGGGTGTATTGCCTCCTTATTTTATTTCCCTTAAAAAATAATGGTTTACATATCAATTAAAGTGGCCACATTGAAATAGAAAACTACCATTAATCATCAGCAGGTCCTTTCTTGAAGCAACAAAATCAAGTTTGTGCTCAAAAATAAGCTATGAAATTAATGTTGTATCTAATAATTTTATTTTCAAGTTTAAGTCTTCATTGTATTCATTAATCAAAATACCATAAATCTCCCTTCCCCAGGGCTAAAATATTCTTAAACTGGCAGACAAAGCACCAAAACGCACGTCGGCCACAACGCACACAAACCCATCACTCAATCTCGGTCCATTGGTCTTGCCAAGGTCAGTATCGAGTATTCCTGAAATTCTCACTTGTAGAATGAATAGATGTTTTGTAAGGATTATCTATTCAGGCAGAAAAAGGAGGGGTGGGGAGGGGATGAAAACAAGACACAATTAGCTATTCAACTGGTGCGAGCAAATTCCAAGTATGAAATCCTTCGTTTGTTTGTGTCTCTTTTTCCTTACCTACCTTGGGTCTCCAGTCCACGAGAAGACATTCACCTTCCGAGGTTTTTCTAGAGCCTTTCCACAGCCCTCCGGGGAGATGCTGATGTCAGCTTTGGCTTTATTTTGCAGCCAGGAACTGGAACCCAGAGCTATCTATTTGCATTTCAACACCCTCCTTTTGTTTTCTGTCCCTCCAGAGGCTCAACCGTTCAAATAGCAGGTAAGGCAGTTAAATCATTCTAATGACCCTAGACAACTTGTGCAAACAATGCGGTTATTTTAGCTAAAAACCACCACTTACTTCATCAGTCAAGCCTACAAGGCCCAAACTAGACCGTCTTGTTAAAAATTTACCTTACATTGTTCTTAATGCTCTCTCTGCCCTAGAGAGGGAAGAGTGATGAGGAGGAAGGGGCGGATGGGGGTGGGGCAGGAGCGAGTTCTGCCTTCTGGAATCTCTCCTGAGTAAATGTCAATAAAATGTTCAGATGTTCACAGGAATTTACAGGTCACAATATTGCATTTGATTCTGAGAGCAACAGCCTCTATCATTTCTGCTGAGGGTGCTCTCATATACAGTACTAACAAAATTAAAAGAGGAAAATGCTTGTTAGGTGGAGAGAGTTGAAGAGCGTGGGTAAAAGTCCAGTCATCCCAGGACCTGAAGGACACCTAGCCCCAGTGCTGCTGGTGGATAACTCCTGTCACACCCACTCAGATGACTACGTGGTCAAGATTCCCTCATGTGATCCAGAAGGCAGCTTTCCAAGAGTTTAATATTCCAAGAGGTATTAGCAGATAAATAATTGCAAAATTCCAAATTTTAATAGGCAAATCCCTCAGGGCCCACGTTGAAGGCCAGTGTTTGGGAAAAGACTATACGTAATTACAAAGAGCCCACAGAGTCACGATTAGAGAGGGAAGGGACCATAAAATTCATTTCCTCAAGGTCCACAGTTACGTAGCCAGTTTGTGACAGGCCTGGAACTGTGGGCGGATCTCTGGGCTCCCCATCCCATGCTCTTGGGCTTTTGGTTACCAAACCCCCGTAGATGAGATCCACAGTGAGATTATATGGAATTCTGGGATTTAGCAAGCCAGCCTATGATGCAGATACATCTGCATAGATTTCAAAGGCCTGACTTGTCATCACCTAAAACAGCTCCCCCTGGGAAATTACTGACAAGCACTCAGCTCTTGGATAAGCATCTCTCCTTCCAACTTGCATGATCCACAACTCCAACTGTTCTTAGAAATATTCGAGCCTCCAGTCCATGGATCCCTCCACTCTCTCCCAATTCATCAGCCCTCTGGTTTTTTCACTTCCCTCCTTATTCAATTTAGATTCCATGATCTAGATGGAATTATAATATCCTTCTTGCCAATCCCTTGAAATCCCTTCCCCTCTGTATTTCCTGCAAATCCATCTAGGAAAATACCAGCCCTGGATGAACCTACCATCTCCTTTCCCCTTACTTGCATATGAGCACTCAAACTCGGCTGGAGAAGACCAGAGGGTGATGGGTTCACGGTCACCCACTTCAAACGGGTCCTCGGTACATCTAACAACTGTGTTATGTTTCTCTGTTCAACTGGCTTTCCAACAACGACTGGAAATCTTCCCCACTGTCCTTGAACTTCCAACACTCCTGTCGCTCCCTTCACCTCTTCATCTTCTCTTGCTCAAATGAGGCTCTCCTGACCTCCTTCCTCCACAGGTCTGCCTTCCCTCCCAGTTCAAGATGAGCGGGACTCCTCCTCTGCGTTCAGTCCCTCCACCTGTGCCCTGCACTCTCTCCCCTCATCAACACCCACAACTCTTTTATCACTTTCTTCTCAACTCACACATCATTTCCATCAGAAAAGCCTATTCGTTCTGCCTTCAAAATCCAACCATTTCTCATCATCACCTCCACTACCACCTCATCCAAGACACAAGCATCTCTTATCTAGACCATTAGTGGTCTCCCGGCTTTCACCATTGCCTCCTTACAGTTTGTTCTCAACACAGCAGCCCCAGTGAACTTTTGAAATCACAACTCAGTGCATGTTCCTCCTCTGCTGACAACTTTCTGCCTACTTTCCATTTACCCAGAGTAAAAGCCGAAGTCCGTACAAAGGTCTATAAGACCCCATCAGCACTGTCCACAGAACTTTCTGTGACGATGGAAGTGATTTGTATCTCACTGTCCTATACAGTAGCCACTAGCTACATGTGGCTATAGAGCACTTGAAACATGAGTAGGTAGTGCTGTTGAGGATACGAATTTTTAATTTTTTAATTTTTAATTAATTTACGTGGAAAGAGCCACCCGTGGCTAGTGGCTACCATATTGGGAAGCACAGCTCTGTGTGATCTCCTCCCCATCCATAGTATCTGCCATTTCCTGACCCTACAGTACACTATAAAAGCTCCCTTAGAGGCAGGTGATGCCACGCCTCCTCTCAAAAATCTCTATGGCTTCCCATCTTACTCAAAAGTCAAAGAATGTCCTGATCTTAATTTACAAGGCCTTATATGATCCGGCCGTCCCACCCACCTCTCTGGCCTCAGTCCCTATCCTATTCTCTTCCCTGTTCACTCCACTCCAGCCACAACACTGGCCTCTTTAGTGGAGCACACCAGGCATGCTGCTGCCTCAGGGGCTTTGCTCATGCTGCTTTCTCGTTCTGGGACGGCTTTCCCCCAAATATTCATATCACAAGCTCAGAGCTTCCTTCTGTATTCGCCCCAGAGTCTTCTGATGAAAGGCTGATCCGACCTCCTGTGACCTGAAAGCCCTACCCAAAACAGCATCCTTCCCACCCTATCACTCTATCTCTACACTCTGCTTTTTCTCTATGGCACTTATCTCCATCTGATAAACCACGTCTGTTTATGTACTGTCTGTCTCCCCAGCAGGCGGGGCCTCTGTTTTGTTCACAGCAGCACCCCTAATACCTGAAACAGTACCTAGCTTATCACAGGCACTCAAAAAAAAAAAAAAAAATGCTGAATTTGATGAAAGAATGTGGATGGCTTTCTGGTGCTAAAAACTACTTCCAGCAGTCTCAACCCTTCAGGCCAGTGATCCAGCACGCTCCCGCAGCTATTCCATGGGGACAGGATGAGACCTGGGCTCCTCTCTAAATAAGGCATCCTCACTTGCAAGAAGGCAGCGGGGTGCTGTAACTGTATGAGCTCTAAACCACACAACAACCCGTTTCACCAGCAGAAACAGAGAGGTTAAGTACGATGCTCAAGCTCAGCCAGAGTGACCTTCACAGTCAACAGAAAATCCTCCTAAGGGCCATTCCAAAGATACGCATTAATGTGCCCACAGAGCTTCCTGATGAAAGCTCTCTTCTGACTCCACGCCTTCATAGGAGAAAAGGAGAATTACCACTTTTATAACCGACTCAATGAAAAAGAATTCACTATAGATAACAGAAAGTGAATGCTACGCCCACCTGCATCCTTGACTCCTCCCCTCAATGGCCTATGTCTTTCTCATCAAATCGCCTTTGGATTTCAAAATGCTATGCTAAATAAAATACTGTTGGCTTTCATGTTTGAAGATGGTGCTGCTGAGAATGCTATTTTTTATGCTAGAATTTTTACAGTCAGCAAGTAAAGTAATGATCAGTCAATTCAAGACCAGTTCCACAGATCGGGTCAACTTCCTCTTAACCTGCTGGACAAGAGTGAATACGATTTTTTTTCTTGGTTTTAGTTTAACAAATGAATGAGGAGAAGGGATGGCCTAAGTAAATTCAAGCCACAGGTAGTGAAAATAGTTTTAGCCATTAGTTTTGATGATATACACCATGAAATCTTTCAGTGGAAATGTCACACTGTAAACACTGGCTTGTGTTTCACATCCTGTTCTTTTCCATTGTTGCCTGACAGAAGCACCAGTGAATAGGGAAATTACATCTTTGGCTACGAAAATGAAGACACAATTGGAGTCATCCACCGGACAGAGAACCTAAAAAATTTTAGGGACTTTGGGACTCCTGTTTCCAACATCCTTGCTCGTCAGAGGGGGAAACCCAGGTCTTGCTGCAAAGCACAGGCACTGTGACACATGTGACCAGGACCAAGGCATCCCAGCTCCCTGCAGTCCGTGTGTTTTTACCAAAACCTAATGACTATCCTCCAACTCATAAAGAGGAGAGAGAGAGAGAGAGAATTTCCACAGAAGCCCTGCATATGACTCTCCTGCTGCTATTCACAGTTATGAATTGCAAATTACTTTTCAAAATTACTTCTCTCAAAATACCCAGACACCTGGCCACAGACTGCCAACTTAATGCTAAAATCGGCACCTTGATCAGCTCACCCCGTGACTTCAGCCATTCAGCTGCATTTGACCACAGCGACAGACATCTCTGCCAAAAGAAATATGAACAACTCTGGGAACTGATTACAAAATTGGGATTGGTCCAGACTTTTCAAAAGTGATGGCTCTGTTGTCTGGAATGTCTCACAGCCAGGACATTTTTCTCAACAAGTCAGCTCTATGTAATGAAAGCAATTAGGAGAAATTCAGATGTGCACAGAACTTCTCTCCCTGCCTAATATGGGAATAATAATTAACTGTCCAAAAATGTAAGCACTGGCTCATGGCTGATGATTCACCTTTCAAGTTGTGCAAAGAAAAAGGTCAAAACTTCTGTAAAGCAATTTAACAATGTGTATCAAGAGTCATAAAAATGTCTATTCCCTTTGACACAGTAATCTTATTGCTGGAAACTGATCTTAGGAAATGATTCAAGAGAAAAAAGATATTCACTACAAAATCTGAATCAACCTAAAATGCCCAATAATAGGAAAAATGTTAATTATGGAACATCTTTCTAATGAAATATTACACAGTCACTAAAAATGAATTACGAAGACGGTCAAAATATGGAAAAAATGCTGAGGACAATGTTAAATTAAAAAGCAGAATACAAATTATATATGCATTTTGATTGCAACCATGTTCAAATATTATTTTCATGAAAGAAAAACGGAAGGCAGGATTAAGGGTGATTTTCCCCCCCTTTTTCCTTAACTTT